AGAGTGATATGACAAATGATACTTAAGCAATAAGGACCTAGATACTAAGATTATATTGAAATGTTATATGGGCAGGTCTAACAGAAGCATTTAGAAAGGCTCTCAGTATTCAGCCACAACCTACAGAGAGCAGAAGTATTCAGCGCACACAGCTGTAGTACCTAACCTGCCTTCAGCAGGCATTTCTGCAGCCTCCTCCAGACATCTCTGGATTCTGCGTGATCTCACAGCAACTAAACTGCAACTTTACTAATTCACAGCTGCCCTGCATCCATCCCTGGCAGGTTTTCGCTCATATTGCAGTGTTTAAACCTTAAAAATATAAATGTCATTTTTAAATGGAATTAAATTAAAAATGGCCCCCGCCTAGATGAAACATCCTGTTTCAGTCTCTTTTCTAATTCCCCTATTTAGGAAGTTCAGCTTTGCTCTGAGGACAGTATGTGGGACGAAGCCACAGAAACAGCTCTAACCATTACAAAAGGATATTATACTTTTTTTCCCCCCCAATTAAATGATTCTATAAAACCCAGGCACAACCTAGCCTTCAGTGGAAAGGCTCAGAATCAAAATGACAAAGACCAAAAGAAAAACCACCAATATTCTATATTGTGAAAATAGAATATCGGCAATTCAAATTACCTCATCCACAACTTTGGAAAAGTAATGAAGGGTGGATATCACTTCTTCATCTCCTTTACCTAATGCAAAATGCTGAAAATAGAAACACACAGTTGGTCTGTAAATCAATAAAAGTGAGTATAAAATACAACATGTGTTTTACTACAAAGGTAATGAATACTCGTACACAATGCAATAAACGATAAAACTAAATGGAAAAATAGTAACTCATTAATACATACTCTTTTACCCTGCTCCTCTTGTTTTAAATGAATGGATTTTGGACAACATATAATTAATGCTTATTATACTAATTTTTAAGTCATAGCCATACAATCGGAACAAACTGGCTTGCATCTTCATAAATTTATGAACTCACATTTTGCACTTTTGTTTTTTTATTATTATTTTCAGAAGTGACCTAACTCCCTTGAACATGCTGGGGAATTTTACACCAGCCTTCACACGAAACCAAGTAAAGCCAATGCCCTAAGCACTTCTGGAAATCACACTATCTACAAAGACTTCTTCACAAGTGCTGAGGTTGAAAAGAAATCAAAGGCATATGTTCAACATACCTGCTTTTCATAGGCAAGGAGCTGCTTCGAAAGCTGTTGTGTGGCAAGACACATTTCATTCTACAAACAAAAGTGACATGTTAATAGAAATAATGAAAGGTCTTTAGCCCTGCTGTTACTAGTACTTTGTTACCAGCTTCCTGACTGAATCTGCAACTACTTATACAAACATTCAGTTGTATGTAAACAACCAGTCCCAAAATACCTGCATAGAGAAGCAGTAATAACAAGTACACATCAGACCTAATCAATACACAGTTTGTTTAACTACTTTGAAAAGAGGTAGGATTTGGGGTTTAGTTTGGGGTTTGGGTTCCCCCCCACCCTCCAAAATAACAAAACTAGAACACCCTCAAACATGTAAGCTGTCATACCAGCATAAGAATGTTTCATATTGGTTAATCATCTTTCCCCAACATCCAGAGCAATAAAGAGAACGAGTAGATGTGCCTTTATATAATGCATTCATGCTCAGGGAACGTACTGATGTAATTTCAGTGGTTTAAGTCAATACAGGAGTACAAAACAGCACATAATTCTGTATTCTCGTGGCTAAACTGGCCAATGAAAGTACACACATCCTTAAGACGTGCTTATGCAAAGCGAGACTTGTAGAGAGGTTGTATAATTTTGCTTGACAGCTGGAAAAAAAAGACAAGCATTTGGATGTATCAGTCTTTACTCCCTGTATTCCTAACAATAGTATATCAACTCCTCTGTTCCTGATTTGTTAACAATGACTTAAAACTGGAATAAAAGAGAAAGGGGAAGGGGGGAACTGGGATCAGTCGTAACCCGTCAGATCCTTCTCTTCTTCAGTAATGCAGAAAAATAATCACTTTTCATTTAATTTCATTTTAAACCTTAACATAACCTATTCCTCTCTCCAAATACATAAGGTCATAGAGAGTTTGTAGAACTCGGAGCAATCTCTGAGCTGCTTTAATAGCACCCTTTATGCTGGGGCTGGTACAGAAAACCATTAAACTGGGACAGAGTTTGTGTGCTCTCTTGTTCTCCCTTGTCATCCTGAGCGCACAGAGCATGGCACGGTTAACTATCTGGGACAGAGATTCTGAAAGACCCTTTACTTTGGCCTGACGCCACCTCTGACGTACTGCATTACAGCCCGGTGCTTCTGCACCACCTTGGCAGGCCAGGAAGGAGGGTTAATATGGACAGCAAGGCCCAAACACTTAGCCAGAGTCTTAAGTATGCCCAAGCACTCAGAAAGAACAGAGACACATAGCCACAGCCTAGGTAACAGCAGCCGTGTGTGAACACATGGCAGAAAAAGGTGGGTGAGCTAATTCTGACCAGCTTAAAACACTATGGTGATAATACTCACATGTAGCTGAAGATGGGAGAGCAGAGCCCTTCCAAGGTGCAAACAAGGGCTCAGAACTGAGTTAATCTGGGTCCAAAATCAGATCATGTGCACCCCGTGACTATTCTCACCTCACAGTAATGGATTATTCTTGTTTCTTGTCTCAGAGCAACTAGTAATGAGCTTTCATACATACATACATTTCATACTTTCATACAATAACAATGCCAAGGATTCACATAAGGTTTGCAGGTTCGTTATGCAGACTGTGTAGTTTTTAATATGAAAAAGCTTTACACAAACACTTGGCATTTAAGTATTTCCTAAGCCAGTGGATGGAAAAGGATGTCGTGCTTTATAATAAGTTAACAAACCTTGTTAAGGGCTCAGGCAAGGATAGGAATGAGCCTTAACTATCTGCCCCCAGGCTGTAAGAACACCTGAGAGACTTTGCCACCTTCAAAGTGGGAGCTAGCAAGCAATGACTTCATGACAGGAAGGATGAGATTCCTTCTATGTGGGCTGATGGGTGGGTGGAGTCCAAAGATAAATTTAAGATTACAAAAAGCAGCAGAGGTTCTCAGACCTAGGATCTTTTTCATAAACACAACCTCAAAGATAGAGCTGAGTAAGAACTGCAAGAAGACTAAGTCCTCACATAGCAATCGTGATGCCATCTGTCAGTTGTACAGTCGGGTCAGGCTGAGAGAAATCTTTTGAAAAAACTGAGTGATAGAAACATGCCTCTTTTTTTCCCTTTTTGTTTCAGTTCACTTATTCCTGCAAAGTCTGCAACTGTATAGTCTGTTCTGAATTTGGAAAGTAAATGCTTCTGGCTTAAACTTGCTAACACTAAAAGAAGCTTCAGAATAATGGGCTGACACCAAAGGCATCCTATTCCTTTGTGTTAGCCATCATCAAAGCTTCTACCTCTGGTTTTTAAAGACTACCAGATCCTCAATGTCCTCACCCAATATCCAAAGAGTAACAAAGAGCATCGTAACTCATCTGTGTGGGACAGTTTGAGGATGGGCAATGCAAAGAGGTGTGTGGAAGAAGCATCTTCCAGTGATCACCACTCCCCAGGAGCAGTCTCCGGTAGGTAACAGGGTAATGGGGGAATACATAAACCCTGAGGGTCTCAAAGGGGTGTAAGTTAACAACATCATATCAAGTATATGATCAGGTGACAACAGCCACATACAGACCCCAAGCAGACATTCATGGCACGCTACTCCAGCTACAGAACAAATTGATGGAAGGGCCTGACAAAAAATTTACTTCGGAATTTTGAGCTGATTTTGGGACAACAGTTCCACACATCACTGATATCCCATTGATGCCAGAAGGTCACACTTTTCCATTTATAGGCTCGGTTCTTTGTGTCAGAAAACCACAAACTTGTTAATCCTTGCCCATGTGGAAGAGTTAATCCAGGGTCCTTCATCCTCCCTCCCAACCTCTGCCAGACATTAGGGGTACAAAATCATTCATTACATCACTAGGGAAAAAACAAACAAACAAAACCAAAAAAACCCCAGCCAAACACCTCCGCCCCCCAAACAGTTGTAAACAAATCAAATTAAGCTAGCAAATTGAAACACAGCCACATTACATAAGGAACAGGAAGCAGGCAAAGTGCTCGGCTGACCTAGTGGTAATACTGCATTGCTAAGCACAATCATCTGGGAAAGTTTGATTTAATCCTCCTCCCATTTCTTCCTAATCAGCCTTCTCTCCCCGCCCTTCCCCGTACTAATCAGTCTCAAGACTTAAGTTATTTGCATTGCTTCAGTTGACAGATCAACTAAATCCAGGCAAATTATTTTAACAGGTTTTAATCTATTTCCAAGACATTTTCCCATGGAATACAGCAACATTCACTTCTTTTATCCTGAAGTGACCGAAATCCAGTATGCCACAGCAAAAGAAAAGCTACTATACAATCCTGACTGCCTGCTCACATTTCTCCCACATTACTTTGACATTTCAGAATTCATCAAGCACTTTCGGAGCGGCAGAGCTATTGACGAGATGATGTATCAGGCAGAAACCCAATAAAATCCTAAACAGAAATCCAAGTATTCTAAATGAAGGCAAAATTAACCAGTACTGGGCCCCGCAAATACATTCATTTTAATTAGATGATTTTACTTAGCAGGGAAAACATCATTGCAGCATTAACGTAAAAAAGTATACTAGAAGGAAAGAAGAAAGGATTGTACGCAAAGAGGTATCAAGCAATCAGTTATTATTACAGATGTGCTGACTTGTTTTTCTTTTTTAACCTTGGCTGGCATGCTAGGGCATGCTAGCCCTAGGAGCAGGATTTTATAAAGTTCACTAACACCAGTTCACATTGATAAGGAAATGGAAGTGATGTCTTGAACCTAGCATTAATCTACCAGAAATGAAAAAAACAACAGATTTAAAAACATTGTTTAGTTCTCAAGTTATTTCAGTACCTCACCCTGCCTTCAAATAAGTCGGTAAGAAAATGTCCAACTGTTGTTTTCTATTCTAGTGCCAGAGCAAAGCATGTGATTTTTCTGGGTTGATTCCACCTTCTTCATTATCACCTTTATTCACCAAGCTGTTCATATCATTGGAAGAGTATGATTTTTCTGTAACCCGTTTGTAATAAAATCTCCATGCTGTTAACCATTTAACAGTGACACAGCCCATCCCTTTTTAGGGTCTCTTTTTGTATTTTTCCAAATTAAACTCTGAGGGCTAATACATTGAAGTCAGAAGATATCTCTATAGACAGTCGTCTCCAGACTCCAGATTTGAGGGCATGTAAAGGATTAAGTTGAGCTATAAATTAACTTCTGAAGACAGAGAGCTATTCCAGCATGTCCAATTCCAATCCCAATATAATGAAGCTTTCTGCAAAGTTACTTTCCTACTCCAGCTAAAGCTGGCATTTTTAAAAGTCTTCAAGTAACCAGCACACAGAACTGCCGAAGGCTTCTTCATGTAAACAAGCAAGATACTGGTAAAGGTATTTATTCATGCACCCTGTACGTGCAGAATGACACTTAATAAAATTTGGCTTACATCTGGGAAAGCTTAATGCCTCATAAATGAGGGAAAAAAAACAGATAGGTGGTTGAAGGAGGAGGTCCATGAGGCAGTTGCAGCCTTCTCATCTTTTCAGAACTAGCAAACACATTTACCTTCAAAACCAGGCACAGCACAGAAAGAACTGTGTCTTGATACAATAGTTTTATGCAGCTCTGTCTATATGTGCATGTCATCTTCCTACAAAATATGAGTTCCCCAGCAATCCAGTAAATGTTACAGTCCTACAGGCTTAGGTTTGCATATTAAATAGCTTGGAAACATGAAGCCAAGGGTGAGAGAAGCTAAGCCTCACCGTGGTGCTCAGGCTGCCCAGCACTTTACAAGATCAGGCTAACACATGGCTTGCCCTGCTGCTGATTCACAGCGTGGCATCCAGTCCTCACAAATGTGAATAGTTCAGCAAAGGATCATCTAATGGCTTCAAAAAATGGAAGACACTAGTTAAAACTGCTGTAAAACAGCAAAAGCAGCTTAGAATCTCATCAGTTTCTTCCAAAACAATTACTATCAGCAGTGCATCCATACATTTCTGCCTCCTTGTAGCACTCAAATCTCCAGATCCTGCTTAGTGCAATGTTAACCTGCTTCCAGGCATGGTGACAACTCCAACCTCAGAGGCGGTATTAAAAACAACTCCCGTGGCTTT